ATGATTGTTTTACAGATTTTTTTCGCTTATGACCGCCTCTATTATATTATGTCATTTCTTTCGGTAATTTTAATTTACCATACTGATTTTGATTACAGAAAAATGTGTTCTCTAATTTATCTAATCTTACAAAATAGATAGCAAAAAATCACTAACAATATTAAATTAATCCGTGTATAGAATACTAAAAACTATAAAATAATTTTCGCATCGCGCACACCAGCTAAAAATATCCGAATTAGTGTTTTGTACCGCGCAAAACTACACTGAAAAATTTAAAAAGAAAAATGAAGTCATTTGCATATTAATATTTCCAAGTAGTAGAATTTATTTTTAAAACTGTAAGAATATTTACCTATGTAAATTCCAAAGTATTATTTTTTATAAGAAATGAGTGTATTACAGGCAAAAGAAACATCAAAAACATACTTTGACAAAAATTGAATTGTGCAATACTAACTTTATTAGTCAGTAGCGTGGTGAACTAGATATCCCTAGGACAACTGCATATTAGATTTAGTAAATAGTTTAAACCTTATCCTGGTTGTTTTAGATTTTGTTTTAAAGCTAGCGATACTCTGAGGTCTTGTAACGTTTGTTCAATGAAACTCGATACAGTTGCCCTGATCAGGGAAGATATATTTTAAGGTCTTAACCTTATTTTGAGCGAGCAGTCGGGTAAGATGAAATATAATTAAATGTCGGGAAAATTCAAGTGTAGCGCTTGGTATTTGAAAACTTATACCTGTACGGCGACCTCTCTTATTACATACTTATATCATACCTACCCCGTCGTATGCTATGCCACTGAGAGGATGATACACCTTAATCAAAGGTTCAAAATTATTATGTAGCTTAACTAAGTATCGAACCTTTTTGGAAAGTAGCAGTAAACGTAAACGTGACTTGGTCGGCCTAAGGGAAGTGAACTACCGCCTACCGGATCATAAGAGTAGGAATTGAGTTCCCAGTGATAATATTATTATATACTTTCCCGCTGAATACAAACAGCATACTATAACATAGGTATGACCCTCAAGAGGATAATACAACGTGCGTTCAAATTTATTTGAACGATGCAACAAAATAAAAGCAACACTTTTGATTAAAAAAAAAATATATGAGATGAATGAATTTGAAAAAATACTGCAGTACTAGCTCACAACTTTTGTATTAAAGTATAATGTATATACCTCGCCACTCGCCAGACAAATTTAGAGCTTAAGTGTCTGGAAAAATGTGAAAGGATTAGTACAAAAGATTAATAGTTTAAATTAATGTTTAAACAGATTAATCTGTAAGGCTTCTAGGCTCTAGCTCCTCGTTAAAATAACAAAACAACTAGTTGCTCTATAAGTGTATAAATTAACATAATTGTTGAGCAACAAGTCAAAACTAAATTTAAAACCAAAATTCCTCTTGCATGGAAAAGTAAATCATACTTATTACATATATTTCTCGATTTTAACGAAACAACATATTTTACGATTATGTAAGCTATGTTTTAATTAATTTGGGCCAAAAATTGAAAATTGGTCCTTTTAGACCCGAAGATTACAGATTTTGATTACTGCAAGGGAATTAATTGTCTATACAAAACCAAAAAGGAATCACAAACGGTTATTATAAATATTTCATGTATTTTTAATAATACCTATAGGCGATATACGTTATTTTAAATGTATACCTTTAAAAAATAGCGACGTATTTTTTAGCAAATTAAGTACAGGAATGAAATATTCGAATTAAAAGAACCAATATGCTCCGTCAATCACTATGCCCTTTAAACTGATTATTGAGGGACCTCTACTGCACTATCAGATTAGAAAGCTGATATAATTTTACATAAAACGTGCAAATATCACATTGAGTTCTCTATAATACCAAAAAAAAAAAAGAGTTGAAATTTCATAGAAAAGTAAAAAAAGTTGTTACCACAGCTGTGATAAGTTTTTCAGATATTTTTGTTCGAGTAACTACTTTTTTTCTCAGAAACAAAAGACAGCACGAGTAAGCTGTATAGGTTTTCCAGACAACCATAGAAATGATAAAAAAAACTCTAAATTGTTAATATTTTCCGCCATTCTTCTTCTTATCATTTTTATCTAATTAAAGCAAATCAAATACAAGTATTCCGCCGAAGGCCGATCCGATCGACTGTTGTTTGCGCAGCTTTTTTTCTTCCTTTACTTTTATTACTTTTTATTTTTTACAAGATTGACTCGTTCGTTGACCGCTCGATAAAGGAAAACTATACCTACGTCTGGGTTTGTAATATTGCCGGTTTGCTTTTTTATTTACAATAATTAGAATAAAAAATGTCTATAAAAACCAAATATTATGTACCAGAAATGCAGTGATAATTAAACATAAATATTATAATTTTCGATACGTTCGAATTAAATTATTGTTTCAAATCGACACGCTGCGCTGTATAGAAAAAAAAAATTGGTCAACTAACCTTTGTACCCTTACAATTCTTATCGTCCGGTTGAAAAAAAAAATACTTCATACAATAAATTCTTATACTTCGATGTCAAACGCGCCGTGTGTTAGTGTATATATTATGATATTATGTTATTGTCTATTATGACAAACGGTTTATCTGTTACTGACCATATTATTGATGCGCACTTTGGTCGTCTTCGATTTGATAATTACCGTTGTATTCTAATCATAAGTCAATAATAATAACACAGGCGACTAGGCTAACTGACATTACCGACGATAATGCATAATATTATGCATTGACTATACCGGATGATTCGCTTAACGTCATACACTAGTTTACTCTTAAAATAATTGCAATGTTGTAGTTTTTCTCATTGAAAACATTTATGTTTTTTAATACTACATCAATAGACCTTACTAAATTGTTTGTATTTTCTAGAGCTTTACAAATTTTTGAAACTAAATTGGTATATATATATAATATGTATATGTAATTATCCAATATTGTAAAGTAACATAAACTAAATTGACTCCAAAAAGAAAAACCCCAAAATTGCAATTATTTTAAGAGAAAACGAGCGACTTATCTTTAATGAATCATTCTGTAGAAACGACTGATAGTCTTGACAAATCGGTAAGTATGCATTATATAGTTTAAGCTCTAAATCAAGACTTGTCGAAAAATTACCCATACTTTACTTCTTATCAAGCGTCCTCTTTATCAAAGCAATTAAACTCGACGCTTATTATAACTTAAGTCTAAACAAAATATCATTAATTTTTAATCAATTGTTTTGTTTCCAATGTTTCGATATGCAACATTTATAATTCACAACATTACACTAATCTGTGGTCCATTTCAATAACGGCAGTTAATAACTTTAACTCTGTTATCCTTGCTCCTCTCCTGCTTGTACACTATATAGTATAGTACCGCAATTCGATTATGACTGGTGCCGATCATTTTGTAATACGTTTAGCATGACTAATTACCGTTGTTATCCAATTACGGATATTGAATTAATCGGATGCTATGCGCTCAATAATTGTCGTCCACAGAGGTTGTCGGTCAGAAATGAAACCGCTTCGGTGATTCGAAATTCTACTAAATCGGAAACAGAATCTGTCTGTTTAAAAAAAAAAAAAAAACCCCTTTTGGATATTCGAATTGGTACATATTAACTTAATTGCGTTCAATCTATGTTCATACATACAGATATTATTGCATAACATTATGTTGGCATACCAACCTCCTAATCTACTTGTGCAGCATCATCCATCCTTGCAACGTCTCCGTTTCCATAGACTTATAATTAGTTTAACATTTTTTGTTTCACAGCAAAACATAATAATATTATATTATATCTGGAAACATATTTATACCGCCAACGGCGTGTTCTTTGTACAAACAAATAATAAAAAAAAAAATTATATCTTTGATAAATAATACGATTTTTTTTTTTACTAAACAATGCTTTTAAACCAGCTTTGTGTGTTCTTCGAAACTATTTGCTTGTCACTCACTGCCTACTATTGCGCCGGGCAAATAAGAACTCGCCCAAAACCCAAGGGATATAAGACACCACATTCTACCCATTTTCTTTACACCAAATTGGAACGCACCTCGGTAATAAACAACACAACAAACGTACAAGCAAATGGAAAAAAACACAAAATTCACTTTAGTTTTAAAATTGTTTTATTGTCTTAACTTAACAACGGACAGTTTAAGATTAATACCGACTCTTGTATACACGTTCAATAGACCGTCGGCGTTCTATTTGTCATACAACTTGTTTTATTTTTTATTTACCTCATTCGAGCTCTTTAAGTGTACTTAAACAAGCTTAAACGATTTATATGTACAACAAACAATATTAATTTGCGTGTACTTTCTACACAAGGTGTTCAACTCATATACAAGGTGATCAACTTATCGCGAACCACTCAATATCACACTGGGTTTAGTAAGAAATTAAATGTTTTCTTTACAAAAAAAAAAAATCAATTATTAATTAAACCCAGTGAGATATTGAGTGGTTCAGGTTAAGTCGATCACTCTGTAGAGAGCCACGTGCCAAAATTGAAATCCACAATGCTACGTTACTGAATATTTGTCTGAACCGTGTGCTATAAGTTGAATGAGGCAACGAGTATATTATTATAATAACTACTTAATCGCGGTTGAATTTATTAGCTCTGCTAATAATTTATCGGTCAACTAATTGCAATAATTATTTTATTTTCACGATAAAGTAATCGTTAAAAAAAAAATATGTAATACAAATACTGGCAAACGTTACAATGTGCCTTATATTTCACAATATACATCGAATATTAAATATCTTGTACGTTGAACCGTCATACGACTTGAGTATCGCTTTATCATAGCTGATTTGCTGGCCATGATGATGAAAACCGTGTCGTCTCCATTGGATCATTAGAGTTAAAATATGTTGATACCGGCCAGTTATATATATTATACAGTAGCTGACCACAATATAGAAACAATGTCATTCTCGGTTGGCTATGCGGATTTATCGTTGTAATTGTATGCAAAAGAAAATGTATGTATATATTTATAAATAATTAATAGTTAAAAAAAAAATTAACAAAAAATAATAATAGTAATAATAAGAATCGTTATGTATAACGTTGTGTACACGCGGTATATAAAAAATATATATATAGAAAAAAAATATAAACATTTATAATTATTAAAAAGTTGTAAAAAGACAATGACGGATAAGTCAATCACGATCAATTGGCATCAATGAAATAATAATAATATATGTATACACATAATATACGTAAAAAATCCAACTAATTACCAGAAATTATCATAATACTCGTTATTCTTACAGACTAAAATGTATTATACATATAATATATAGGTAAACTTTAAATACTAAAAATTATTTCTCACTAATCGAACAAAATATGTACAATTCCTATTTAACACAAGTAAAAAAAACTATAGACAATATTTAAAAAAAAAAAATCAAAATAAACAAGTAATAATCTACAATAAATTCGTATCGGGGTTCCAATTCTCTCTCTCTCTCTCTTTTTTTTTTGTTATCGTTAATTATTATAATTATTATTAAGAGGAACGTGTCGAAATGTAAGTGTATTCTTCTTCCTAGTCAAGGTCCGTCAAGGTTCGTTCGAACATATTTGATTGTTTTCCATGTAAACTTTTTTGTCTTTGGATTCCACCACGACGACTTTGGTGTTTTTTACGGTCAGCGAGGTAACGGACTTGGCTTTGGTTTCCAAGCCGGAGAACCACAGCTGTAGTTGATTGTTGATGTATTCGAACGACTTGTTCCTGGTCTCGGGAACGAACAAGTACGTGACGGGCGCCATCACAGTGCAGGCCAACGCGAACAGCCAGAAACAGCCGGATATGTGCAGGCTGTCCTGCATGTACGGATACGCTTTGAGCACGCCGAATCCCAGTGCGTTGTTCCAGAACATGAGCGCGGACATGCAGACGTTGCGGACGTTCGGCTTGAAGATTTCCGTGTAGACGATGTACGGCACCATTCCGAGCCCGAGGGAGAAGGCGATCACGTGCGCGGACAGACAGGCCACCGGCAGCAGTCCGGTGTTGACGTCCTTGTAGAACGAAGTGGCGTAGAAGCAGCCGCCCATTATGTACAAAGAAACGGCGGCCGCGCTGTACGTGCTGATCAAGAACAACTTTCTCGCGCCCTTTGTGACGATCAGACAGCCGATAACGGAGCCGCACACCTGCACCAACCCCACCAATATGGTGCACACGTTCGGCGACAGTTTGCTGCCGCTCTGGTCGAATATGTCGACCGCGTAGCTCAGTATGACGTTGATACCGCAAAGCTGCGTGCCCGTTTGGAATATAAACCCTATGATCATGGCCTTCACCGTGCCCACTTCCATGAAATCGGCCATCGAGGCCGGCAACACCTGGTCGCCGCGCACCGTCAACGAGTCCAGCTCCTCTTCCACCTCCTTGTCGGTGTCGGTGCCTCTGAACCACTTGAGCGAGTCCCTGGCTTCGACCGGTTTGTTCTTCCGGACCAGGCACGTGGGCGACTCCGGAATCGTGTACCATACCACCATGAACACGACGGACACCACTAGGCACGCCGAGTTCAAACTGGTGTATCCGAAACACGTGCCGCAAACGTACACGTACAGCACGCCTAAGTTGTACATGAGTATGAACAACGACCCCAGGGCAGCGTTCGTGTGCTCGTCGCTCACCTCGCCGACGAACATCGGCGTGTTGATGGCCGCTCCGCTGCCCCCTAAACCGCCCAAAAATCTGGCCACCAACAAACTCATTTCCGACTTGGTCAGCAGCAGGACGACCCAGCTGATCAGGAACGGCGCCATGGTCAGGTATCCGGTGACTTTACGGCCGTACTTTTCCGCCAAAACGCCCCAAATCAGCGTGCCCAATATGGCGCTTATGTAGCCCAAACTGTTCGACCACGAAATGGAGTCGTCCGAAAGCTGGCCTTCGAGCGGTGTCGCCGGCGATTGTAAAGCTGGTTGTACGGTCGCTGGCCAACCGGAGTAAACGCCGTATGAAAAAGTAACGAGATTCGCTAAAAAAAAAGAAACAGTTCAGTTATTTACTGGCGAAGCGCAACATTTAGACTTAAATTCATTTATTCGTTTTGATATATTTTGTCTTTGTTTATTATTTTGTTATCATTATAATTATTGACCTAATTTCCGTGAAAGTGCGAATCGAGATACATGCAGAATGTTAGGAACTACATATTTATAATATTCTAGCCGGTGTGGTCATTTTGATAAAATCAACAAATCTCAATTATAAACGTTGTCAGTGTGTCTTTGTATCAACACAATTATTGATTGTATGAAATTTAGCAAAATTCAACAAATACTGTATCATTTACGCGTTTAATCATAAAATTATCGTTGGACTTGTTATAGATAATACATACAATTTAGTAATTTCATCAGTATTCAATAATTTTATAGCGCGTTAACAAAATTATTTTGCTTCTGTTACGCTTGATCTACCGCTATCAGACCAACATTATTAGATTAATAATATGAAAACGCACAATTTTTGCGGTCGGTCTAAAAATAGACTATAAAATCCATTCGCTTTGCATATTTTATCATTTTTTTTAAATTTAATTTTTCCCATCGTAACGAAGGTTTTCAAGATCTAAAATATTCTTTTGAGAATAATATTTTTTTTTATTTTTTCGTGTTTAGTTTACCGGAAGAGTATTACACTTCTAATATTATTATACAAGAGGGTTTAAACGAGGCTGTCTCCAACCCCGTGAGAGCAGGTAACGTGCAAGCGATTTCCCTCGGGCGTCGCATAAAAAAGGTGCGACCAAGTAAAAACGGGCAAAAAAACCCTGCATGCAGTTAAAATAAATTAACGATCGAGCGAAAAATGTGTTAGTTAAAACGGCCCGGACGGATGAATACAATTAAATACAATGTCGAGTGGCGACTTGCGTTATACCTAATGCAAATAGCTAGCAATACGCCTTTAACGAACGAAACGTACAATTTGCCTGGACTTGTTCCGGCGCAGAAAAAAAATAAGATTGATTAAAAAAAACCAAAATTGTCAAGTTTGAACACAGACGTTCCAAATAGGGAATTGAACGAAAACCCGATTAAAAGATTGTGGCATGTGTGTTACCTTTTGAAACTATTTATATGTATATAAAGGTAGCAATTACGGTCATTGTTAAGGTTGCATTTCCGAGATGAGATTAGGCGATTTTTTTTTTTTTCAATTAACGCCATTAAAACTCTTTAAACCGACTTTAAGTGTAGCTGAAACGCCGACCGTGAGCCGAGTACGTACAAAATGTAATCTTAATTAGTTTAAAAGTGTATTGTGCTTATCGCACACAAACTGCATTGTACAGAGTTAACGTGTAACGTGAGATTTTCGCACGAGGCATAGGTTTTCAAACAATTCGTATATTATTATACTGTTTACAGGCGAGTGCTTTTAAAAAGAATTAGACATTGCAAGTTTGTCGTAAACATTTATTATTATATTCTATAAACATTTCTCTTTCTTCGTTTTCATTACTTTAGCCCTTGCGATGCGTTATTGTGTTTTGACAGCTAATTCGCGCTCCGTTCAAATTTCTAATCGCGTTTAAGCCGGTAAAAAGCTTCATGTTAATAATAATAATATAATACCTACACATGTAATTGTTTATATTTTTATTGTATCGGTTTACACGGCCAGGCCAAAACACGTGATCCCATCACGTTGTGGAAAAAAAAGTAAAAGAGAGAGAATGTCGATGTAATCGTTATTAGCTAATTGGTACACACTCGCCAGACAGTGTGTAGTCTGATTATAATATTTTTTGTATACGCAGACGATTAAGAAAATCGACAGTGTGCTTTGTACACGGCCAAACTTGAAAACGTCTGACGGTTCGAAATAACAATGTACATATTATTATTATTGAATTGTATAAGAATCCAGATTGTCGGGGACGTTAAAAATGTCTGTAAGTAAAATATTATAATGGGCAATGTGAATTAGGCACTCCGGAAATCCGAAGCTCTCCACTTTGGACCTTCGTTATACAGATTTCCACTCGATATTCGATTTACAACGAGACGTTCACTAATAATAATATATTTTGGTATATAAATAATATGTACCGTGAAAATTTCCATACACAATAATTATACTTCAACGTTTAAGTACGGTGTGCGATAATAACGTTGTGCGAAAACGTACCGCCGGTGTAGATAATAGCGCGTACACCTAGCTAGAGACAATACACAGTTTTAAAGTCCATTTTTTCTTCTGGGCTTGTAATGCTTATATTTTTCTGTTTTTGTAACTACTGTGCCAGCAACCGTGTGGTACACATAATACGATCACGAGGATTAATTGTATATTATAATATGCCCCAAGTAAGGTTTCAGAGTTTTTAATAGGTCTGAACTTTCTTAGCCCCCCCCCTCCAATTGCGCCAGTAGATTACTGTATGTGTAGTTAAAAACTGTGTTATGATAACACATAATAATGCAATTGGCGACGACCGTTGTGCTAATATAGTGTTACGGTTGTTTATAAAATATAAGCACTGTCCGGAGACGGGCAATTTTAGAATTAAAAAAAAAAAAAAAAATAACAATAATAGTAAAAATAGCACCGAGTAGAATAATTATTATTGTTTTCGTTAAAACGCTGACGGATATTTTTTTATTTTTCCTTCATTATTCGTCTTCACAACGAGGCGCCTGCCTATAAACAATACAGCGTACCCGTGTACACACGGTCATGGGCGTTCGCTTAACATGGCACACTGTTTTGATTGCATGCTGCAGCGGATCCACGACAACACTGCCATCAGTTAACATATCTTTATAGCAATATATTCCATCAAACTGCAGATTTTATCAACCGAACCGCCGTCGATGATCGTTTTTTTTTTTTTAACGCAATCTCTGTAATTCGATGTACTTTTTACGCCCGACGACGTACCTACCTTTAACCGCAGAGTTTTGCCATAAGCGTTTATTGATTTTAAGTTCACATTTCATAATATTGTAACCTCGACAAGTTCGGTAATTTATATTAGTATATAGACGGTATCGCGACGACGCGACAGATATAAAATAAAATATATATATATATATATATATATATTATATTTTTTATACAGAGCGTATGCGGTTAAATCAGTTTTTCGTTAAACTCATCACGTTATAAACCCTGGTTAAAAAAAAAAAAAATAAACAGGCGGTCGTGACGTTTTAACGAAAAGCGAAAATTGATTTCTCTCAAAAAGAACAACCGAAATAAAAAAATAAAAATAAGTCTCGGTTTTGCAATCTAACCGTCTAGAGAGTTTAATCGTTGAACCAAACAATACAATGAAATAATCAATTAAACTCAATAGAGATATTATACAATAGTCACTTGATATTGTTTTTCAGATAAATAACGTTTTGAGTACACGCAATATTTATAAATTAAACGTATCTTTTCGTTTTTTTTTGTAACGACTTAATTAATTTAATTGAAAAAAGAAACATCTATCAGGCGGGTAAAACTTGAAGGGCAGTCGGAATTAAACGCACACTACAACCTTTGTAAAGTTTTATCATGTTGCTATGTTTTTAACAAAAAAAAATGTCCACGTGGAGGTATTGTAATAAAGTATTATTATATTACTTACAGAATACAGTGGCATCGTCGTTTAAAAATGTAATTTAGCCATTTAGTTATACAAAAGGCAGGTACTCGTGTTTAACGTTTACTGACGTTATAAAAGTCGTTAAGTGTTATATAAGTGCCGTTTTTTAAGGTTTGGCCCAATTAAAAAAAATGCGATGAGACTGCATTTGTATTAAAAAAAAAAGAAAAGCAAACGACGAAAAAAAAACAGTTTGAACAACGGTGCAATATTTATATGTAGTATTTTACAAATATTATGTTAATAGTTAAAAAAACAAAAACAAATAATTTGAATATCAACTGACCTGTTAGCGTGGCAATCGTTTGCCTGGCGGTGGCTTTCTTCCGGGCGGTATCCATTGCTTACAATAGTAATGAGTTTAGGTCGATAATCCAAAATCCTATTGAAATGTAGTATTACTTAACTACTTGATTTCCTTTTTTCCATGTGCTTATTGCTATAGTAATTTGTTTCGAATTTATATAAAACCCCAATAACGTAATTGTATCGACTGTGAAAGCGTTTGGTCGAGTTGTGAAAACGAGTGGAAGAGAAGAAGTATTTTTGAATTATTCGAAGAAAACAGAACTGGTGATTTTTTTTTTGTAGCAAAGCTGCATGCTGCAGCTCCCGCAACTGACTGGTGTAGCACCTTAGACTTGGCTAACGGTTGGTGTGAGACAGTGGCCGAAAATTTTTAAACTCAGAGTCTAGTTAATCACATATAATATGCGTATTGAATAATAACATTGATTATCATGTACATTTAATTCGGACCGGGACGGGTGGTGCATACAGAGTGTTTAGCATACCGAACACGTGTCGTTTTAGATTATAACAAAAATAGTGTTAACAATTATGCGTTCAGTTTTTTTTTTACCGGCCAGTACTTCCTCGCAGGTAATTGCGTAGGTTATTTTCATAGAACAATAATATTATGATTACAACCCATCGTGTTCTGTAACTGAAACGTTTTACAATTCCAAATGATATAAGTGTATTGTCAAGACAAACCATACACGAAGTAAGATATTTTTATTGCTAATCGGTTGTAGAATTCAATCTGTTTTGATGGGCGTTCCTATATTTATTCTGTAAAATGTTGCATCATGAACATATTCATTCAACATAGTTATGAATAGCATAGGCGGACAAGCCCAACGGCATATCAGGCAAATCCCAGTTTTCCCTTTCTCGATAGGTTTTTTTACATTAATACACTATAATATGATATTTGCTAATAAACACATGGAAATATACACAAAAGCTCAACCAATTATAATATTATCTACTAATAAAAATAATTTTACATATTTTCCCTGATCAAAAAAAATAAAAAAGAAGATAAAAGTAAAGAAAATTTTTAAAATTACAATAGCTATAATAATAGAATTATTATTATTTCACATATTATTCATGAAAACGCATGTTTAAATTTATAAATACAAGTTAAATTTTTTATATGCAATTTAATATTGGTTACATTTTCTAAGGTTTGAAAAGAAAACCACATTTTATGATAAAAACAATAACAGAAAAAAATGTTGTGTGGGTATAAAAAAGAGTGCGTAGCAAAACCTCCCTATAAGTTGGCCCCGTGTACTTTTAAGTAACTTTGGCCCCTCTTTATATATACTTACGGTAACAAAAATTTAGCCCATCCGCCTCTGTTGAATAGCAAACAAATACATTTTATCGATCACACTGTATATAGTACACGAATAGGAGTGATACAAAGAGTAAAGTGTACAAACATTATCTATTTAATATAATCAGCGACCATAAAAAATCATTATTTTTAATCGCTTGTGTACCTTCGGTCGATTTTTAACCATATTGTTGGATAAAATATAGCTGATTATTTTTCCCACGACACTTTTTGATCATCAACATTTTAATATTGTTTTTAATTATATAGATTTTTTAAAAAACAATTATACTACCTATTAACTTCGGGGTTTAAAAAGTATACAGTTTAGCCGTGATATTCTTAATATCAATGTGACCCTGCGTATTGGTTGGTAAAAAATAAGTACTAGTTTACTTAACCCTACTTTTCTCCTTATCCAAACTTCAAATGTTTATGTAGTACTAAAAAACCGAATTCCAACCGGCTTATCGTTTCAATAGTCATTACTGAACTATTGAGGTTACGATTTCAGTTCTTAAATATTACAAAACTACTTTGCGAAGTATAAAATTATACACAAGTGTTTTTTTTGTATTAACATTTTGTATATTACTTGAGCTTTTCCTTGTATAATATTCTGCGGTGGACTGGTCGTTAGAAAAACATTTAACCCCAACCGCAGTATGTTCACAAGGAAATAACCTCACGGCTTAAGTAATATTAAAATAAAAGTATTTTTCAATTACATACTTATATAATATATTATAAGTATGTATGTAACGCTTATTTTTATCTAAAAAGTGCTGGATCTAACAGCCAAAAAAATCTCTACTTACTGATGCAGTAGGGAAGTGCCTGTTGTATTAAATATTATTAATGTTGGTAGACATTGTTTCTGATCATAGTAAATTTAATTTATGCAAGCCATACATTTTTTTTATTGCAATAATTTATATAATACTATAGTGACAATAGTATTATTACTTTATACATGGTTATTACTTAAGCAGAGTAAAAATTTCCATAGCAAATCATATACTATTTAATCGTAACCCATTCAACAGTAAATAATAAATCGAAACCCATTCTGAGGAACTTTTTACATCTTTAACTCCTTTTAGGTTATAATATTTATTATTAGACACAAAGGTCAATCGATTTGTTAAATGATCAATGATCCATAGTTCCAATTATATGATCTGTGTTGATTAATGCATTCAATTACAAAACGATAATGTTCAAAGTAAAGAATATATTTAAAATTCAATAGTGTTAAAAGCAATAACAGATATTAATTTTTTTTAAAGCTTTTATTTTCTTAAAAATTAAAAGTAATATAATAGTAAATAAATGTTACCTGAATAATAGACAGTTTTTAACAAAAAAAAAAAAAATTATAAATTAATTTACTCTTACAAAAAAAAAAATGTAATTCACTTAAACCTTTTTATATTATATAAGCTAGATACCTACCACTCTGATAAAACTTATGAATTATTGATTTACCTTATTAATTGTATGTCGTTAAATTAATAAATATTACCTAAAAAAGTAAAATTAAGACTTTTAATAATTATTTTTAGAAACAAATTAATTATTAAAAAAAACTATGTAATAATAAATAGATGTGTAGCGAAGTGCATTTTCTAAAAAATAATAACCAAATAGTAATTTGTTATAATTATAATTTGGCCAGTTGAGAAAAAAATCTAATATTGAAAAACATTTGTTTATAATAGTATGAAAGGTTACAGAAATATGACTTTTTTAAACTTTTTCCCGACTTATAATCATCAACCCAAATACGATTAATGGTCCAAGAATAAATTGATAACAGAAACTGAACGATGGAAAACCATTGAAAAGGTGACTCAAGATAACAAAAAGGCATCAATCATTAAAAAACCAATGTGTCTACAAAGTAGGCCCTACGCGATATAAAAACTTTTCAGCTCCATAATGTTGGTAAAAGTTCTCGCATGGAAAACTTGATTTTATTTGTTTTGCTCATCTTTTTATAAACCGCGTGTAACGTGTAACAATATGTTTACTTTTTTTAATACAACTTTTTTCATAAAGTCAAATTCAATAATAATAAAAAGAAAAAGTTATATTAGTAAAATATTTGTAGCTATGCATAGCATAAATATGTTTAGTATAACGGTTAATAACGTTAGTATAATGGTTTGGGTCTTCTGTGTTTACAACTAATGAACTAAGTACAATTTATAGTTATTCAAAAGTATTATATCATCGACAGTCATTTCGAGCATACTGTTTACATTCAAACGTATTACATTTATCGTCGTAAAAACTTATATGATAAGTATTATATTAATTTTAAGTACACATATTTCGTTAACATCGTTATTATTCTATTAATTTGTATTTAATTGTTATTATTATCAATAATAATTATAGTTTGTTTTTTGTTTAGTCTACGACCATTTAGTTTGGTGTGGATAACTCATGCTCTACTAGAGACAACAGTTGCCATCATCCTGGGGAAGTGAATATGGTGCGGTGGTTTCCCGGTACCTTCCGCACCAGTCGGGTGGTCATTTCTCACTCCAGACGGTTGCCCGCCCAGCTAGAGAATAACCTTCTCGGTCACGACGCCATGCTAGTAATTTCTATGGATATTAAATTTTGTATTTTGTCATCACTAGGCAAAATCACGTCGGATGTTGATAGCATCAAAGAAATTAGAAATACCGAACAGATATCAGTATATTAAAACAAATTATTTACTTCAAAGAAGTTACACACCGATATCAAAAAGAAATTAACTCACTAAACATGAATGGATCGTGGAACATGGATCATATTCAAATTCGAAAAGAAAACATTAAAAGCATTTGAGATGTGGTACTGGTGGAGTATGGGGCAAAAAACTGACTAGAGAGAAAACTAATGCATGCAATTAAAATTAGACATTGGAAAATAGTGTCTCAATACATACGTTGAGAGATACACAAGTACTGCATAATACAAAAATAGAAGATACGATTAAAATCAATTCAACAGCAGGACGACACTGTAAATCGTATGTAAAACAAATTGAAAAAGATGCAAGAGTAGGATTTTTTTAGGAACTAAAAGAAAAGGCAAGAAATCGATTAGAGTGGATAATTGCAGATGTGATCTAACGAGCTAAAAAAATCTATATCCAGTGTTATGTGTAGTGTTTATAATAGTAATTTAGATGTGATAACATTCATTAAACAAATTCCACCTCTTCAAGGGGGACATACGAATCATGATTAAGTATATGTTTTATGGCACCCACCCACTTCTAATCTTAACTTTACATTTCAGACGATTCAAATGTTTCTCCTTGTCTCGAAATGGGCAAACAATTGAAATGAGTAAACAATTCGAGTAAAAAGAGTTAATAAAATTCGAGTTAACAAGTAAATAAATCTATTAAACGAGTAAAAAATGAAATAAACGAATAAACGAATCTAGTAAATAAACCTAGTTAACGAGTAAACAAATGGATAAAAGTATAAACAAAAAATAAATAAAGTGTGAAACCAAATCAAAGATTTTGATCTCAATGAAAATGTACCCAAATTTTGAACTGATCCCAACCATAAAAAATATAATAAAACTAAATTTTTCTTATTTAATATTTTCTTATATAATTTAATGTTATTAAAATGTATTATTACAATATTTCAAGACAAACAATGTTCAAGTATTATTTTAACTTAAAAATATTTAAATTGTATTTTGTATTGCACTACTACAATAACTAACTCATCTAGACGAATTATAAAAGAAAGTCCCATTAAAAAATCTAGATAAATTAAATGTGTTGAGTTCATATAGACGAAACAATCTAGATTATACTTTTAAAACTGACTGTATGAAACCATAATATTATGTTTATATTTTTTTTCCATGTAATATTATTTTCTTCTAATAAGATTGTATTTAAATAGGTCGAATTTTAAAAGATAAATTTAAATATATTTATAACTACTATGCATTTAACATGTAATACAAACGTATCAAAATGGAAGCCCATAATATAAAAAA